ATGTGTTTGGGTATGGAGGATGTCTGGAAAACTCTTATTATCTGAGTGTGTTGCCCTAACAGTGAAGTTTGTAGGTGACGGTATCACGGTCTGGGGGTGCTTCTCGTGGTATGGTCTAGGTCCACCAGTTGCAGTGCATGAATCCATGAATGCTGAGTCCCACATTGATGTTCTGAACAATTCTGTGTGTCCTACATTGTGGCAATTTTATGGTACAGGCCCTTACACTTCCAACACGATAACGCTCCATGTCACAAAACAAGGATTGTGAACGCTTGGTTTCAAGAGAATAGCATCAGAACATTGCAGTGGCTAACACAAAGCTCCAACCTCAACCCAATAGAACATCTTTGGGATGAACCGAAAGAAGAATTATGGCAAAGCCAAGACGGATCCATTCAGTAGTGGAGCTTACTAATGCTTTAAAGGATGAGTGGAGCACAATATCACCAACTTTTTACCAGAAATTATTAGACAGTTTTCCATGACGCATTGAAACAGTCATTAAAGCCAACACTCTATTAATTTCTTGAATAAAGACATGTTTTATTCATAACTACCTGTGTCCTATGACTTTGGTAGAATAGTGAATATCGTTTTTTAGTCTGTAGTTAAGCACAAAGCTACATTATGGGATACCTGTGTTGTGCCTACCACGGGTATCGAAACCCGGTTTTCAGCAGTATAACTCCGCAAACTTACTGCTGTACCGCTGAGGGAGGTCTAGAAATATATGGCTATGAGGAATTACTCAGTTATTCGGCTTTAACCAATATTCGAAAGGGATGGATGACAATGAGGCAAAAGTAAATATGAAGTGATAGTTGTATATTTTGTGAAGTGGTAGTTGTATATTTTGTGAAGTGATAGTTGTATATTTTGTGAAGTGGTAGTTGTATATTTTGTGAAGTGGTAGTTGTATATTTTGTGAAGTGGTAGTTGTATATTTTGTGTAGTGATAGTTGTATATTTTGTTTGATTTGTTTGATAGCTGTAACACTTTTTTCTCACAACTTAAAAAGATTGTTCTCTTCAGGGATACCAAAACGATTGAATTCAGTAATTACTCTCTTGGAGGAGTTAAAAGTGTTATTGAGGTGACTTCAATGTGAATCTCTCTAGAAAGACAAAAGCAATTCACAGTCTTTGGTCTCATACCTTTCAATGACTAAATCTCCCAGTCTGAGTTTCCTAAAAGGTGTATAGAAAAAATAAAAACCTCATTTAGCTCTTCTAAATAAAAAGAATGGTGACATATTTCCAAATATGTTTGGGATATGGAATGAGTGATCAAGAGACTAAGTCAGAATTGTCCATCTGTTTGGTGTTACAAGTTGTTGTGGAAAAGTAGCAGAACTAGCGTTGGTTAAATTTGGAATAAAATATTCGGTGGACTTCGTAAATACCGAGTTTAAATATTTGATCAAATATTTCGAGCTCGATAGCCAAACGAATGTTTAATGCCGTATGAACGAACATTTTAAGCCCGGCATTATCAGGTACCTTTGCTATAACTATTTTAATATTAAGAATAAAATACAATAATATCATAACTTTATGTTGTGTTTATTCTTAAGTACAGACCTACATAAAGAGCTATCTGTACTCTGCCCACCGGTTTAATTATTAGGTTGCTGTTGTTTGTTATTAAGCACAAAGCTACACAAAGAGCTATCTATGTTCTGCCCATCACGGGTATCGAAACCTGGTTTCTAGTGGTATAAGTCCGCAGACAAACCACTGTGCCACTGGGGGTATTAACTGTCAAGTTAAGAATGACAATTCTACGACAGCTTAAAAGTAGACAATATTTTCCGAAAAGGAACAGTATATATATATCCCTTGAAGAATATTCAAATATTAGACCATAGAGATCATTTTACAATAACTTAGAAAATAAAATATCCTCCTGCTACGTAACGGAATAACTGTATAATATCTTTGGACATTTCAAGTTACATTTATTTATATTGGTTCTTATGACATTGCCCTCGGTTACTCAACGGTAAGACCGAGAGCTTATAACTCCAAAAATCGGGTTTTGACACCCATGATAGTTACTTTGTTTGTTACAGTTACTGTGTTAGAGACAGTGGTGATAGTTACTTTGTTTGTTACAGTTACTGTGTTAGAGACAATGGTGATAGTTACTTTGTTTGTGCAAGTTACTGTGTTAGGGACAATGGTGATAGTTACTTTGTTTGTGCCAGTAAGCAGATAAAATTGAAAGAATCAACTTATGCGCATAATAAATATGGGATAGTAGCTCTTCGCAGAAGCTTTCTTACCTATAAACAACACACGAGCAGCCATTCCTGGTATTACTAAGAGAAACATGGGAAGAAATTTGAGATATCCGGCAAGAACACAGCCTCCTTTAGCGTGGGACAGGTTTTTAGCCGCGAGAGACCGTTGTACGATAACCTGAAGTACAAAATTGTTTGATAGTTACTTTATTTGTTAGAGTTACTGTGTTAGAGAAGTGGTGATAGTTACTTTATTTGTGCAAGTTACTGTTTTCGAGACAGTGGTGATAATTACTTTATTTGTTAGAGTTACTGTGTTAGTGAAGTGATGATAGTTACTTTGTTTGTGCAAGTTACTGTGTTAGAGACAGTGGTGATAGTTACTTTGTTTGTGCAAGTTACTGTGTTAGAGACAATAATGATAGTTAGTTTGTTTGTGCTAGTTACTTTGTTAGAGACAGTGGTGATAGTTACTTTGTTTGTTACAGTTACTGTGTTCGAGACAGGGGTGATAGTTACTTTGTTTGTTACAGTTACTGTGTTCGAGACAGGGTGATAGTTACTTTGTTTGTGCAAGTTACTGTGTTAGAGACAATGGTTACTTATCAAACATTTTGTAGTCATTGCATACATGGCTATCAATATGAATACAGTAAGCTTCATGGTAAAAGATCTCAGAAATGTTTATAAAACAATTCCCCAAAAAATGTGCTCTTTGACGGCGATTAATCGTTTAGTTTGAAACAGACAAATATTATAATAACTTTGTATTCCATTATAAAACATGTTCATTCAAAAATAGTTAACTTTAGTCATTTTTTTATTTATGTTCCATTAACTAAATTCATAATGTTTAATCAGTCGTTCATTGTGCAAAATTTATTATCATTTATTAAATAAACGCCTCTTTCTTCAATTGAAGTATTTTTTATAAACTTGTAGTACATCCCAGTTTTGATAATGCTGTAATTTTAAATATATTTTTGCTCAGATAAAGTTGGATGCTCAGATCCTGATTCCTGCGAGGAAATCTGTGGAAACCGAGGAGGATGTACCAATATCGCATACCCTCTTCTAGTATTGGAGCTAATGCCAGCTGGTAAATTTTCAATAAATTAAGATTTAAGCTCTTGGTGTTGAAACTAATGCCTGATAAGAAGTGTTCAGTAAGTTAGTGCTTAGCCTCTCCTGATGTTGAAACTAATGCCTGGTAAGAAGCGTTCAGTAAGTTAGTGCTTAGCCTCTATTGATGTTGAAACTAATGCCTGATAAGAAGTGTTCCGTAAGTTAGTGCTTAGCCTCTCCTGATGTTGAAACTAATGCCTGGTAAGAAGTGTTCAGTAAGTTAGTGCTTAGCCTCTCGTGATGTTGAAACTAATGCCTGGTAAGAAGTGTTCAGTAATTTAGTGTTTAACTTTCCCTGATGCTGGAACTAATGCCAGCTGGTAAGTGTTCAGTAAGTTAGTGTTTAACTTTCCCTGATGCTGGAAATAATGCCAGCTGGTAAGTGTTCAGTAAGTTAGCGTTTAATTTTCCCTGATGCTGGAAATAATGCCAGCTGGTAAGTGTTCAGTAAGTTAGTGTTTAATGTTCCCTGATGCTGGAAATAATGCCAGCTGGTAAGTGTTCAGTAAGTTAGTGTTTAATGTTCCCTGATGCTGGAAATAATGCCAGCTGGCAAGTGTTCAGTAAGTTAGTGTTCACTCTCTCCTGATGTTGGAACTAATTAGTGCTTAACCCTTTCCCGATTGTAGGTTAATGACAGTTTGTGTTTACCCTCTCGTAATGTTGAAACTAATACAGCTGATATTATCCAAATAAGTGATTGCTTAATCATTTCTTGTAATCATTTTGTCAATTCCTATGTAAATTGATCATGGTTTATTTTTTCTGAATTAGAACATTGTCAATACTTTTCTACATAAGTAAAATACGAGAAGAAATAGCTATATTCTCATTATTTGAGTAGCTGAAGGCGATCAGATATTTATAATATTAAGCAGCATATACCGTTATTGTAGTATGTATTGAAAGATATTCAAAATTTACGATACACAAGCTTAAACTGTTTGAAAGAGCGATAGCCAATTAGAAATGCTGTGTACTCTGGTCTCAGTGGATGATCTCCCATTCCAATTTTTATACATGGCCACTTTGTTTCTTTCTATCCCTGACGTAGAACCGTATTTCTGGTCTATCAAATTGGTTCCTTGCTCCAGTTTTTCACTTCGGTCTTTTCCGGTAAACTCTTACGTTAGACTTTCAACAATCTCTCACGTTTGACTGTCATACTGATTTTGAACATCGTTCTTTCCGTACTGGTGTTGGATCTCGTATGTTTGATATTAAATTAAATTTTTTTTCTATTTTGACTATTTACTCATTTATGTGTTGTATGTATATATATTGCCAAAATTTACTAAAAAGTACTTGTACCGCCTGCAACTTTTATATTGAAGTGCACAATCCTAATGTTGAATCAGAAGGAAATGGATGATTTCACTGGAGCCTGACATTGTTAATATATCTTAACATATCCAATATACAACACCAATTAGATAATGAAATAAAAACAATTATTTTTTGGATTTTCTTTTGAACAATCGTTTTTTTTATCTAACAGGTTATACTTAGCTTAGGTTTCTGGTGAGGTTGAATAACAATAATTTGAATCTTTTTCTACACGAATTCAAGCGTTTGTCTAATTAATAGTAATGACGGTAATTATGTTATCTAATGAGAAAGAAATCCAGTAAATAATGTAATTTTTATAAACTTTCAGGTGCCCGAGGTCTAATGCTGTCGGTGATGTTGGCAGCTCTGATGAGTTCTTTGACCTCTATTTTTAACAGTAGCTCCACAATTTTCACTATGGACATTTGGAGGAGAATCAGAAAATCTGCATCTGAAATGGAACTCTTAATTGTTGGCAGGTAAAAAAAAACAATTTCTTTGAAACCTGTCTCTCCTAAATGCCCCCCCCCAGTGGCACAGCGGTATGTCCGCGGACTTACAGCGCTAGAATCCGGGTTTCGATACCCGTGGTGGGCAGAGCACAGATAGCCCATTGTGTAGCTTTGTGCTTAATTACAAACAATCAAGCAAGTTCTCCTAAATTTACAAATGTGCTTAAATCATAAAAGTACATTATGTTTTATTCTTACTGTAACGATATTCATGACTGCACGGGACATGTAAGACTGAAACTGTGTTACATTATCTAGTATGATGTTATATTGAAAGTTATTAATATTTAAATGGTTTTAATGATGCAAAAATTAAATTATCTAAGTGCATATAAGCACTGTTGACATTTTAAACTTCTATTATCAGTAAATTCGACTACACAATCTGAAACTTTGAGTAGTTTTTATGTTTTTGTTGAGTTAGTAAATTGAAACAATGTCTTTATACTCAACTGACTGAGTCAGAGTCACAAATGCGCTTCTAGTTAAAAGAACTAGAGGATAAACTCGTGTTTGACGTGCGATGTATTTACTAAAATTATTTGATTACTAAAACATTGTTTAAGAAAACAAAGTAACAAAAATGGAAATGACGGAATTGAATCGTCGACCTTCCGCATACGAAGTGTGTATTGTGCAATATGAGCCAAAGCCCAAATATTTATTTTACATATGCAACATTATTAAGTAGAATACTTTGTGTGTGTAAGAAAAATATATTTTGCAAATAGATAAATATATTAAATAATGCTGATAACGTATTAAGTAGTTGGACACGAATGAAACAAAAAACTACTAAGCAGAATAAGGAATTGCTGGATTTAGATTTAAAGTTTGTTTTGAATTTCGCGCAAAGCTACACCAGGGCTATCTGCGCTAGCCGTCCCTAATTTAGCAGTGTAAGACTAGAGGGAAGGCACCACCACCCACCGCCAACTCTTGGGCTACTCTTTTACCAACGAATAGTGGGATTGACCGTCACATTATAACGCCCCCACGGCTGAAAGGGCGAGCATGTTTGGTGGGATGGGGATGCGAACCCGCGACCCGCAGATTGCGAGTCGAGCGCCTAACCACCTGGCCATGCCGGGCCAGATTTAAAGTAAAGAAGTGTAAAAACATGGAATGATTATAAACGAAGTATATCCCTGTACACATTTTATGTATAAACACCCTGCTTTATAGATAATCGCCATCTTTGAACTAAGATCTTGAGATTGTTTTCTTGATCGAACTCTTGATAAAGAGACATTATTTTTAAAATTATGGTATCAGAAGGGTAAAAATCAACTGTATTCGTTTGTCACTATTTCACTTATTTTCCATCCCTTCCATAATGGTATCAACTCTTTTCTACTACCCCTAAATTATTAACAAAACATAAAATTCTCTACTATTGATAACGGAAATGGTGTATTTTTTTATTACCGTAACGGGTAGACTTGTTATTCGCGTACGAAGCATATTTAAACCTTAAGCCTAATTATCAATTTTAGGCGCCTGTTGAAATTTCTGTTGGGATGTAGTTGTATTGGATAATTTATAAGTCACGGAAAAGTAAAGAATTAACTTAATGTGTTTAATTTCGTTTTTGTTTACGATTACTGAAGTAATCGTCTTTAAGATTAATGCTATAAACTTCGTAGTTTGGCATTCGTATAAAACAAAACACGTTAAACGTTGTTCAATTTGCACTCCCATAGAACAAAAACGTTAAAGGTTGTACACTTTTGCACTCGCATAAACCTAAAAGTACCACTGTACTATTAGCTAATAGGATTATTGAGTTTCCATGTGAATTAGCACGCATACACATAAGGATTGACTAACACACATTGTTCTATTAATTACATAGATATTTAATTTTTGCCCTGAATCATTCTTATATCGCTTCCTTCAGGTCCTCGCCATTTGAGCTCTTTGTAATAACTTTTTCAACAACAACAAAAAAGTAAAAACAACTCTAACAAATGTTTATATACACCTGGAAAAAAGTTAAGCACCCCCGTGTTTTTTTCAAGTGATTCAGATTCGACGTTCTTGTGACTGATTATAAATTACCATTCAATCTAAACGTGTTTATCAAATGAAATTATGCATTATTGGGCACACGAAAACAAGATTATTACCGTAAAATAACAATTTTAATTTACATATCATGACATCAAAATATGGACAGTTTTCACGCTTAAAATTATCTTT